TGTATTCGTACACAATGTTGATGAACAGTTTCTTTCGCAATTTATAGGGGAAATACTCAATAGACATCATAAATCACTGTTTAGTGCACAGATTGTATAAAAACATGTGTTGAAGTTAATATTTTTCTTTTGGTAGGAAACTCTTACAGTTTGTTAAAGGAAATAACGCTCAGTTTGTTATAGGAGATAGCACATGGGGAAAACAAAGACCAAAATGTATTGTATTAATCCTTTGATGCGTACGAGTAAATTTTTTTTATAGCAAAGAGTTTATGAAGCATTATTGAGTACCGGTTGCAAATATTTATGTTGGCTAGTGCCATTGAGTAATGGACAAAAACATGTCGTTTGTCGTTACTAGTATAATGCTACAGTACATACAACCTCGTGCTTATGCACATTGGTCTTAGTTTTAGCTTCATATGACCAGATAACCTAGAATGGAAAATATAATTCTGAGCCCAGGTCTAACCATGGTGGTAAAACCTTATTGAATACCGGTTCGTATTTCATGTTTACTGGAATACTTTTGCCTCCACTTGAAAATACCTCGTAGCCTCGTGCTTAAGAGTTGCTTTCTTAATGTGTATCTTAATTATCCCGAACTTAAGTTTCACCAATGGTGGTAGAGTACATAATTTTAAGCAGGGAAAATAATCTGAAACGTAATTAAATACCAGTGTGCCATTTTGGTGTCGGCTTTGGTACCTTAGCAGTATAACCCGACCACTCTAACATACCTCTTGTGTATGCTGTGCATGTGGTCTGGTATGGGGTGGAATGTTTGGACGGCGGGTGTTTGCATCACAAAGCCTCATTAAGGGCGGTTACAATCCCCTCTCCCCGACACCTCAAAGGCCCGGCACTTACTGGGTCTGTGTGTATAAATTACACGCCTGTCTCCATGTGTACACTGGCGATGCCGCGGTGCAGCGAGGCTTATAAGCTGGGTTTAAGAGGTTTCGTTTTGAGTTGATTTACCTGCGTTTACATAAAATACAAGTCTGGTTTAGTATGGGCAAGGACAACCAAAATAGTTTGCGACTGTTTGAGGTGTTAAAATGTCGGTTGAGACGCTAAACAGAGTCAGGCACTGCGGCACTTGGTACAGCCATCGGGTTGCGTTGATAATGAGCGAAGTATTCAATCAGACTCGAAAAACAGATATTCCGCAGTTATTCATTTATAGGCTAAACTCAATAGAAATGTTACCATACTCAGCGAATAGTGTGGTGATACGGTTTGACCTATAGCAACCACTGAGGATTCCGGCCTCCCATTCTCTTCTATCCTATGCTTCTTCTAATAGTCTTTCATTACCCTCCACTTCATTCTTGGTTTTCCTAGTGGTCGTCTACCTTGTGGTACTCCTTGGAATCCACTTTTTAAAGTTGATGTATCTTATCTACACCACCATAGGCTGCCCATACAAGGCTTTTTCTTTTGAAAATCGCCCCTATATCTGGGCGTTTATACATTTCTCGTAGCTCTCTGTTCTTTCGTATCTTAACCTCCGTTATCTTAAACTTTACTTCCTCGCGCTCTATTCTCAAACCCAGCAACAAGGTTTTTCGGTTCTTTAATCAGTGCCGAAGTTTCTGAACCATACGGTACTACTGGGATAGTTATGGTATGGTATGAATCGAATTTGGGTTCTACTGACACCCTGTAGCTTATTGGACTGTTTTCTAGAGACCTACTACACCGGTTGACAAACAAGCATTCGAACATGAAGAAAAAGAAGTATCAATACGTATACCACTTAAATCTTAAACAATTAAGCGATATTATCTTGAAAATATTTCTCAAATATAAGTTACAATTTTCTTGGCATAAACTTATACGTAGGCTACACAGATTGCATTTACGATAAACATTATTATACGCAAGTGTTTGAGATGTATAGTTCACAATAACAAATTTACTGATAACACAGATCCTTACTGTAGGGGAAAAACTACATTTTAACTTTTACGTAACTTAACTCATTAACTTTAAATTAGTTAGTAGGCAAACACCGAGATCAATATTATTGTAAACAAAAAACTTGTAGCATAAACATTTCAATGACAGTTAGAAACCAGCTGTTAGTAAAAACAGCACTGAAAGCTTTAAATTGTAAGCGTCGGCTGCTAGACTTTTAAATATTAAAGCTTAACTTCTAAAATTTGAAACCCTAAACTAAAATCATGGCTTCGGAATTCCTTAGTTCTCAAAGTGATCTTTTTTCAACATAGATATCATGTTAATAGTCCGTTTTAGAGAGAGATTCAGGATTAATATCAATTATTACTGTTACATTAACATCATTTTTTTTATCTATAGGTTTCTTTATTTTAATTTCAGTCAAACGTAAATAGTTAGGAATATCTTGGTTTGTTTATTTCGTGATAAACAGAGTACCCAATGAGTCATGTTGACATAGTATTGTTTATTTTCATGTTTGGATTATTTAATTTACTGAACAAGTTGTTTGTATGCGACGAAACTGTTATTTATTCTACTAGCCTTGTTTGAGTGATCGTAATTTTATAATAATTTCCATCTGGGTAAAATTATTTCGCTTAATCTTTGTGTAGTGTACGAGCACCACGAAATGTTCAATTACTTAGCCGATGGACATAAATGAAATATAACCCCTAACAAACAATGAAAATTAATTACATCAATTAAACTATCAGTCGTTAACTTTGTAGAATAAGTTTACCAACCCATATAGTGTATTTGTTGCAAAATACTATCCGAATGATTTTATGTTTGAAGGGTCACCACCGGTTTTTTATGAAAAAAGTCAGGATATAGAGATAGGTCGATAGATACATAGTGGATATTTGGTAATTTATCCTGACGTAAAGAATCTAGTTAGGTATCCGAATGGTTAGAGCTTGCCTTGAAATCTGAAGGTTGATAATTCGATCTCGTGTAAAGTCGCTTCTAGACCAAGTCTTAATTTCTTTTTGTATCAGGAAATGAAGCTATCCAACAAAATGTAAACTTTGTCAAAGTACCGAGTTTTAAGCAAACAAATTAACGTAAAATATGTTTAGCATTTTTATAAAGCTAAACAGTTGTATTTAAAAAAATATATAGTAGGCTAATTGTTTTTATCAAACGGTTTAAATCTCATAAGAAGTAATAAAGCTGGACTTATTCACTTAAAGCACCGACCTTCACTATTTTATCAGTCAGAGTAATCAGAAATTTGTTATTAAACACAATTACTTGTGTGGCTAGTAGATTGAAAACCAATAAGATGTTTATTTTACAATAACTAATAATCATATCCATTTGTGCAACTGGGTTTGCCCAAACTCATGAGAATGACACCATTTCCGCACCTTATCGCTACGATATCTCATCTTAGTACAATGCCGTATGATCGATAGCCGTAGTGTCCAGTTGTACCGAATGTTCGTTTATGTGAGAATGGTTGCAGGTTTTCGTCTTATAGTTTGTTTATTTTTGTGATCAACATAGTGTAATAGGGTCGAACATGACAGTGTAAATGGAAAGGGAGCGACATCGTCGTGCGTTGTCCGTTCCTTTTGTAAACCGAGGATATGTTTGGGTATGTTGTGGGATTGTTAGTCTTTTCTATACACTTTATATATTTTTATTGTCAAAATTAACGCACTGACTACTTTGAAATGTATATTGTGTCGCTGAGGATAGTAATGTGTTGATGGACTTTGAAGAATTCTTGTCGTTAAGGGTTTGTTGTCTTTACTACTGTATGTCCCCACAATTTCAGAGATGATATGGCCTAGATGTGTTTATTTTTTAAGGAGTTAATATTTGTAGTAACCACTAGAAAATTATACAATGACAGTTTGGAAGTCAATAAATATTGTTTAGGATGAGACGAGAAGAAAACTCAGAAGTGTCAATGTTATCAGGATATAACAAAACAAACAAAAACCTGGCTCGTGCCCTCCCGATTGCGAACAATCCTGATTGCAAAAAGTCCAAAATGCGAACATGTTTCCGGGTTTACGAGGGGTAGGGGGTTGTCTATAAGGTGGAAAGGATTCCCGATTGCAAAAACATTGGAGAGGTTGGGGTTTTCCACCCATTCTATTCGTAGATACTTTGGTCTTTAACAGAATGATTTGGCCAGAATCACAGATCAAGACTGGTAAACACATACTGGAGCAGGACGAATTGTTCAGTGTTCTAGAAGACACATAATATCTTCATGAAACGTAGTAAGTAAAGCCGCATTCTTCTGTCTCACAAATCCGCTCTGATTATATTTAAAGTGGTTGTTTATCAATATGTTTGGCTTATAATAATCAAATAATCTTAAAACAGAAGGTAAAAAACAATGATTTCATATAAATACTGCAGTTTAACATAATTAATCCTAAATAAGATGAATATGCGTTATAAACAAAAATATCAGCCCGTCTCTTCTATTTAACAGCAGTGACTTGACCATTTTTACAGATTCCAAATATTTTTCGCAGTCTGGACGACTCACGTTCTGGTAGTCCTCAGCATTGTTGAGGTCTTCGCAGTCTGGACGATTTTACCCTTGTTCGCGATCTGGACTGTTCTCAATTAGGACTCTACAACCTCCGGGCTGACTCAAAAACTTGTGAGGCTGGTGCCTTCATAAACCCCAATGATCCACTCTCCATTACATCCATCCCAGATTACACTATTTTTATTCGGAAATTACTCTATCCATTTCCTGCACTGTTGTGCATCGTATCAATAATTATACATCAAGAATTAATTAAACTTAAAGTTCACTGTACTAAACAGCGATACATTTGTCCAAATCATCACTGTATGCTAGTGGAATTTTAATAGCATAGTCATTCAATTAGTAAACATTTTAAGAATTAATTTATTTTTAATCTCTTCCTTTGAATGACATTAGTAATTTAATACTTACTAATTTACGGATGTTCCTCGAATTTTACCTTTGAAGTATTTATTGTTTTTTAGCTTTTACACACTCAATATAGCTCAATAATCCTACTTGTATGTTTCAGAGACAACTGCGGGAACGACGGAAAACAAGTGATCCGAACCTCTCGAAATCAAACAAGTAAGTAATATGATTCTTGTAGCCTAATTGTACTTCTTAATTAGTTCTTTCACACACGTTTCCGAACAAAACTCTGAAAATATTTACCAAGCTATTAAATTCCATACATATTACTTGTTCTCTATAGATTTGTTCTATTTTCACTGAGATAGTTTTTTCCAAAGAATTCCCTGTGTTTTAAACGACCATCTCAATACCTCAGCAATTACAGCACTAGTAGGATTTCTCGTTGAACTCTTGAACTTTGCTATGCGAGATGATGAGAGGCAGAGGCGGTGCTGAGAAGCGTCGCGGCGCCCACGCGCGAGGGTAGCGCCGAGCGCCGAGCGTCGCCCAGTCGAGTGGTGGCACCGCGACGGGAGACAGACACACGTCATACATCGTGTCTCCGATACGTGCGTGTGATACGTGAGTGGTGAATAGTGCATATACATTACTGTGTATACTTGTATACTACACAGCTGTGTAGAACAGTGATAAACGCACTGTGTGATACAAGTGAGAAGTGAGGTTAGGTTTGATACAACCCCCACCCACCCCACACAACCCCCGCCACGCCATGTCCACTTTTATCATGGCATCGATCTGTAATACCATCTAGTGATGAATTACTTGTTGAATGCCGGTGGCTAATTTCCTTAACTTGAGTACGGTTGCCCTAGATAGTGCGTTTTAACAGTGTTTGTGCATAAATTGGGATATTAAACACGTTTCAATGTTTTTCTCTTACAAAATTATAATTTACAATATCTGAACATTGTTTCAAATACGATAGACTAGGAATTATTTAATTCGAATGCGAGGGTCTAATGATGGGTTGATCAGTACCGACTGTAGGCAGGGAAGGAAGCGAGGGTCTGATGATGTGTTGATCAGTACCGACTGTAGGCAGGGCAGGAAGCGAGGGTCTGATGATGGGTTGATCAGTACCGACTGTAGGCAGGGAAGGAAGCGAGGGTCTGATAATGTGTTGATCAGTACCGGCTGTAGGGAGGGCAGGGACTGAATGTCTGATGATGGGTTGATCAGTACCGTCTGTAGGCAGGGCAGGAAGCGAGGGTCTGATGATGGGTTGATCAGTACCGGCTGTAGGGAGGGCAGGGACTGAGGGTCTGATGATGGGTTGATCAGTACCGTCTGTAGGCAGGGCAGGGAGCGAGGGTCTGATGATGTGTTGATCAGTACCGGCTGTAGGGAGGGCAGGGACTGAGGGTCTGATGATGGGTTGATCAGTACCGTCTGTAGGCAGGGCAGGAAGCGAGGGTCTGATGATGGGTTGATCAGTACCGACTGTAGGCAGGGAAGGAAGCGAGGGTCTGATGATGTGTTGATCAGTACCGGCTGTAGGGAGTACAGGGACTGAGGGTCTGATGATGGGTTGATCAGTACCGACTGTAGGCAGGGAAGGAAGCGAGGGTCTGATGATGTGTTGATCAGTACCGACTGTAGGCAGGGCAGGAAGCGAGGGTCTGATGATAGGTTGATCAGTACCGACTGTAGGCAGGGCAGGGACTGAGGGTCTGATGATGGGTTGATCAGTGCCGACTGTAGGCAGGGCAGGGAGTTAGGGTCTGATGATGGGTAGATCAGTACCGACTGTAGGCAGGGCAGGGACTGAGGGTCTGATGAGGTATTTATCAGTATTGACTGTAGGCAGGGCAGGGTCTTAGGGTCTGATAATGTGTTCATCAGTACTGACTGTAGGCAGGGCAGGGTGCGAGGGTCTAATGATGGGTTGATCAGTACCGACTGTAGGCAGGGCAGGTAGTGGGGGTCTGACGATGGGTTGATCAGTACCGACTGTAGGTAGGGCAGGTAGCGGGGGTCTGATGATGGGTTGATCAGTAACGACTGTAGGCAGGGCAGGTAGCGGGGGTCTGATGATGGGTTGATCAGTACCGTCTGTAGGTAGGGCAGGGAGAGAGGGTCTGATGATGGGTTGATCAGTACCGACCGTAGGCAGGGCAGGGACTGAGGGTCTGATGATGGGTTGATCAGTACCGACTGTAGGCAGGGCAGGGAGCGAGGGTCTGATGATGGGTTGATCAGTACCGACCGTAGGCAGGGCAGGAAGCGAGGGTCTGATGATGGGTTGATCAGTACCGACCGTAGGCAGGGCAGGGACTGAGGGTCTGATGATGGGTTTATCAGTACCGACTGTAGGCAGGGCAGGAAGCGAGGGTCTGATGATGGGTTGATCAGTGCCGACTGTAGGCAGGGCAGGGAGCGAGGGTCTGATGATAGGTTGATCAGTACCGACCGTAGGCAGGGCAGGGACTGAGGGTCTGATGATGGGTTGATGAGTACCGACTGTAGGCAGGGCAGGGTGCGAGGGTCTGATGATGGGTTGATCAGTACCTACTGTAGGCAGGGCAGGGACTGAGGTCTGATGATGGGTTGATCAGTACCGACCGTAGGCAGGGCAGGGACTGAGGGTCTGATGATGGGTTTATCAGTACCGTCCGTAGGCAGGGCAGGAAACGAGGGTCTGATGATGGGTTGATCAGTACCGACCGTAGGCAGGGCAGGGACTGAGGGTCTGATGATAGGTTGATCAGTACCGACCGTAGGCAGGGCAGGAAGCGAGGGTCTGATGATGGGTTGATCAGTACCGACTGTAGGCAGGGCAGGGACTGAGGGTCTGATGATGGGTTTATCAGTACCGACTGTAGGCAGGGCAGGAAGCGAGGGTCTGATGATGGGTATATCAGTACCGACTGTAGGCAGGGCAGGAAGCGAGGGTCTGATGATGGGTTGATCAGTACCGACTGTAGGCAGGGCAGGGAGCGAGGGTCTGATGATAGGTTGATCAGTACCGACCGTAGGCAGGGCAGGGACTGAGGGTCTGATTATGGGTTGATGAGTACCGACTGTAGGCAGGGCAGGGTGCGAGGGTCTGATGAAGGGTTGATCAGTACCGACTGTAGGCAGGGCAGGGAGCGGGGGTCTGATGATGGGTTTATCAGTACCGGCTGTAGGCAGGGCAGGGACTGAGGGTCTGTTTTGAGTTATTTTCATCATCCTTGTGTCGTAACGATGAAGCAATGTGTTGTGGCCTCTGGCACGGTGTTTTATTCGTGTTCGCGTCAAGCTTTGCTTTGTTTGTATAAGTTTGCACGTGTGTAGGTAATAAATAGATAAAGCTTTTCAACATTTACGATTTTCATCCGACCTGCGTTTAGTACGGATACGGTGTTCACCTGAAGGACGTGTTTTTGGTCTACGAATAAAACAAATAGTGTGAAGCAAAACAAATAACATAACACTTTTTATTGATTCGCTCGCACAACTAGAAATATAGTCGATCAAATTTTTTGCTACTACTTTACCAATATAATTTCGGTTTCCCAATGAGCTACTGTATAATAATTTTTTTTACTCTGAGTATTCAATACTCTCTTGTGAATCGCAATAATGTCGCCGTTGCCAAAAGTTAATTTTTGCATGACTTCTTGGCTTTTAATCTTGTCTTTAACGAAAAAACGTAAGTACTCTTTGTTCGTTGCAATGGAAAAAGAGTTGAACTTTTGAGCGATGTTTTGGAACCATTCCACAGTATAATTATACATCGTCCGACTAGTTCAGCTGGCGCGAAATTTGTATTAAGCTGCAACAGTAGAACTCACTTTTGAACTGAACGTGGTATTCAGATCGATTTCCTTCTACCTTTAACTCCTTTCAATACTATTTTTATACTCCTGAACAGGTGAATTTAGGGTGGAAATTCTTAAATGAACGCAAAGTGTCCTTTGCTAATAGTCAGTGTGTGACAGAAATGTGCTAAAGTGTGTTAGAATTGTTTATAATTCCGTCTGAAGATGGATCAGCACGGACGTGTGATGGAGAGGAACTTGTCCAGTGTGGACGCGACAAGTTTGGCCCCTGAGCTAGGCCCGGACAGACGGTGTTACTCGGAGAGGTAAGGGTAGTAAAGGAAGGGTAAAACAAAACGTAACTAATAGATGAATGTTAAAAAGTAATGAGTTCGTTTTTTTTCTGTTTTTTAGCGAATTTCCCTATAGGGAAGTAGCTATTACCGTAGGTCTCATGGTATGACCTGGACGCGGGACCGATTTACTTTTTCATTTTGATGTCCCCAGAGGCCAAAAACACTAATCGTTCAAATTCATATATATTTGATATGAATCAAATATATATGAATTTGGTATCAAATTCATATGTGTGTGTGTGTGTGTGTGTGTGTGTGTGTGTGTGTGTGTGTGTCCGTTCGCGCGATAACTCGAGCAAAAATGATCCGATTTTGATTAAATTTGGTACAAACGTGTAAACCTACGTTTATTCGAACGAGTTCGCGAACCAGCATAATCGGACTATGGGAACGGGGGTTTACGGGGGGTTTTATGGGTTAAAAATAGGTTTTTCTCATTTTTGACTCTTAAAACATAACATTTCTCAACTTCTCTTCAAACCAATTTGAAGAGCATAAAAAAACAATTAATTTAAGAAGTATTTTTCTGCGATTTTTTTTCTTGTACGTGTTCGTGTGTTTGAAGTCATTAGAATCCAAGGTGGTTTTTTACATCAACCACGACGGCAGGTGGATATATCTATCAGACGTTCACCCTTGTGTTGAAGAGGTATCCTCAGTGGCCAGACTGAGACTAGAGATAGGCAAACCTCTTCACAGTAAGGTTGAAACGTCTAGTAGAAATCCCCAACTGACAACGCAGTAGGCGTCGAAAACCACCATGGATTCAATCAAACCGTGTTTTTGGTCAGGTACTTATTATACTAGTGTTTATAACTCTGACCTGTGACGACATTTCTGGTGGTAATCTTGTTATAGTATGGTTCTATTCATAAATGCCTGTGTACAATATTTTGTTAATAGAGGTAACACAAAAACAAATTTTCTTAACATGCATTGAATGTTGGGGAGGTTATCTTGTTAGTCCTTTTTACAGCCGTATTCGGAAGCAAAACTCCAATAGAAAGGTTTAATTGTCAAATGACCGAAAGATGAAGTCTGTTTGAAGGCG